GAAAAAAATCGATTCACCCTCCCATAAAAAGTTATCACTTCAAAAATGGTTTTTGTCCTCCGTTTTCCACCCTCCGGCTCACTGCAACTGAGCGAAACGCACGCCAAAATAATAAATTTGTTCCAGGGGCCGCCGCCCTCAAGAAAAATTAATTGACTAGATGAAGCGACATGTTGCAAACGGGTGGCGCATTAATCGACAACAATTGAAAATAGTGAAAATTGCGAGAAAAATGTGCTTCAGCTGTTTCTTCAGTTGCACTCTACTACGGCGCGCTGGGCCACCTGGGACGAATTTTGCAATAATTGCCATTAAACAATGGCGACGACAAATATGGCTACATTTTCGCAGTGAACACGTACAAGTGTGCTTGTTGTTCAATTAGACTGTGGTCGGTACTGTGTAAGAAATCCCTTCTAGGACAGCAGTAGAATTGCCTGCCTACAGTAGCGTGGCCAGCAGGCTTTCAATCGGTTTTCTGGGGAGAAACGCGCAATAATTCACCCTTTTCTAATTAAATTTGTTGATGCTATGCGGGCGCACGGGCCATCTCCACCGAGATGGTTCCGATAAAGGCGATAACCATCGGCGTCATCGTCCAAAGTGTCATCTGGGTGCCGGGTGGCTCGGGTTGATGTGGTGCACATGTTAGTGCCCACCCTCCGGAACATCCCCCTATTTCACCTCGTCATCCTCGCCTAATTAAACTGAACTTATACTGCAATTTCCCAACCATGTACCCAAAATCGCGGCCTTCCACAGAACTTAGTGCTGCAGTAAAACGAAATTATAGGAGCTTAAATTAGTGAACCTGTTAAAAACTATAAGATTTCTAATACGAAAATCAGTGTTTTGGTCTCGAAACAATGCAAGGCAAGACAGGTAAGGGCGAGTATTGACGATATGGCGAATGCGCACAATCAAGGCGCGATATCAATCAAGGCTTGCCATTGGAGCTAGTCAAGAGCAATTAAAGTGCAAAGACAAGTTATTGATGGGAATCATTAAGTCGTATCGAATGACAATCGTAAATAGGCCCTCCATCAGATACCATCAGCGATTGCAGGCTAATCCCAAACAGGAAATATTACCAGTTAGCAGTAAACGGTAGCAAGAACAAATTAGATCAATTAGATTGCAGTTAAGCTGCCATGGATTAGTATCAGATAAATGGCGAACAATTTTCTAACTCTCTTTCGTTTTTTTGTGCTTGGCACAGTCAGTCTAATGTGGACAGTTGATGAAAATCAACTGAAACTTTTCAGTTTAAGATCCTTCTCTATCCACTCGTATTGCAGTACAGAAAAAACACCAACACTATGAAAGAGAAAGACTCAAATAAAATTTTAGTTACATGGAGAACAGGTTTTTTCATGCATCTGTTTGTATCTGGACAATATGGCGGAGCAGCGTAAACCCCAAATTTCACAGTTGCCTTAAAACTGGAAACGCATGGCGAAGGTACGACCACGTTAGTGACTATGAAATGCTAAAAGTCAATAAGAAGAATTTGCATAAAGATTACTTTGATAAACTACTAACTACTCAATGTTGGCCAGGTATTTTATCAATTGATGAGCGCAATAAATCCCGTAGATCTAATGGCGACCGTTTTTGCAATCTTGCTTTTTTCAAAAGTCGGAAAGTAAAATCAACATGGCAAAATAATTGAAATACCTAGACTTTCAATCAATACAATACAAATACAAATATAAACAGTTTTTAAAACCTTGTCGTGCGTGACGTCACATCCAAACTGCCCATCTTAGATGGCATTTGGCGACAGCGCTGCCAGTTTGCGCGATTAATCGCCAATCCTCTCTACTTGTCAAGCTTCTGTAGTCCAATGTACTCCAATTTTCTTTGCAGATAAACGAACAACTTTCCCTTGGACCTAATTCCTAGAACGAGGGAAAAAGTAGGTGATTTATATATATACTTGATATTTGCCGACAACACAATACAAAACTGGCAACTCTGTTTGGCGACGCTGCTCACTGTCTTTCATGTCAACGTCGTGTGTCATTTTTTGGCAGTGGCTTCGCCAGATCAGAAAACGCTGTTGTTTACGTGTGTTTTTCCTCAACCTAGATCAACGATAAAGAATGGATTTATCGAGCATTCTACCAAATCCAGTGCAACCCGTTTGGGACCGGGACGATGAGCGCAAGAAGAGAGCCGCCCTGAAACCATCGACGGCTCTCGTGTCCGCCCAAGCAATTGCACCCCCTTATGGACAGCGCAGAGGCTGGGTGCCCCGTAATACTACCGATTATGGGGATGGAGGCGCGTTTCCGGAAATCCATGTCGCCCAGTATCCGCTGGAAATGGGGCGCAAAAAGGACGCCACATCAAATGCCCTGGCCGTTCAATTGGACGCTGATGGGAGGGTAAAATACGATGTGCTTGCCAGACAGGGACATGGCAAGGATAAAATCGTCTATTCCAAGCTGTCGGATCTCCTGCCAGTGGAAATGGTTTCTGAGAATGATCCGTCCCTGGAAAAGCCTGGCCAGGAGGAAATTGACGATGTGACGGAGCGCACCAGGCAGGAGCTCATGAAAATCACCAACTCCAAGATAGCTGCAGCTATGCCGGTGCGTGCAGCAGATAAGCTGGCTCCTGCCCAGTTTATCCGCTATACGCCTTCGCAGCAAGGAGCTGCATTTAACTCAGGAGCCAAGCAGCGAGTAATTAGGCTGGTCGAGGCCCAAGTGGACCCCATGGAGCCTCCTAAATTCAAAATCAATAAGAAAATACCCAGGGGACCCCCATCGCCGCCCGCCCCTGTGCTGCACAGCCCTACCAGGCGAGTAACAGTGAAAGAGCAGAAAGAATGGAAGATTCCACCGTGTATCTCCAATTGGAAGAACGCTAAAGGTTACACGGTTCCTCTTGATAAGCGACTAGCGGCAGATGGCAGAGGTTTGCAGCAAATTCACATTAACGAGAACTTTGCCAAACTGGCTGAAGCCCTTTACATTGCTGACAGAAAAGCGAGAGAAGCTGTGGAAACTAGGGCGCAGTTAGAGAAGAAACTCGCTCAGAAGGAAAAGGAAGCGAAAGAAGAGCATTTGCGCCAGCTTGCTCAGAAGGCGCGTGATGAGAGGGCAGGCATCAAAACCTCGGGATCCACTCATGTGCGCACTGCCGACGACGAAGAGCAAGAACGAGACGCTCTTCGACAGGACAGACACAAAGAGAGAGCTAGAGACAGGAACCTGGCGCGGGCCGCGCCCGATAAAAGAAGCAAACTACAAAAGGAACGGGAAAGGGACATTTCTGAGCAAATCGCCCTTGGCATGCCAGCCAGGGGCCCGTCAGCAACTGAAGCCCAGTTCGATCAGCGACTCTTCGGACAGGCCAAGGGGCTGGGACAAGGCTTCCACGATGACGAAGCCTACAATGTGTACGACAAGCCGTGGAGGGAAGGTGGATCAATGGCCAATCACATTTACCGGCCCAACAAGAACATGGATAAGGACATCTACGGAGGCGAGGAATTGGACAAGGCAATCAGAACCAATCGCTTTGTGCCAGACAAGGAGTTTGGAGGCACCGATCGGTCGGCAGCCGGTCGCAGTGGGCCTGTACAGTTCGAGAAAGAAGAGGATCCTTTCGGTTTGGATCAGTTCTTGTCCCAGGCCAAAAAGGGGAGCAAGCGCAAGGAGCCCGAGAAGAGAGACGACCGTGATAAGAAGAAGCGAAGGGACTAGGACTTGTACAGTGTTTTCGTGTTGGAGTGAATGCACCGATCGATATTGGATGTATTTTTACGATTGATCCAAAAACATAATTGTCCACTGACAAGTTATTCATTATTCAGTTAATATTGTTCGGGCAGTTTTTTCTATAGTTGTATTTGTAAATAATAATTTGGCTGTTTGGGTTGCTTTTCCCGAATGAAGCCTAATTTTGTCAACTTGAAAATATCTGCGAAAAACGCCAGTGTGTGCAAAATGTACGCGGAACCAATAAGAGTAAAAACATGTAAAAAAACTTTAATAATACAATTTTATTTACAAAACCTACTCCTGCATAGCCGAGTCACCCTTAAAGTTAGCAAAACCGCCCATTATACAAAAACATACAAATCTAGCACAGTCTTTGAACAGATTACAGCATGTAAAGCTAATAACATTATGCATTCTGTTTTAAATGCGTGTTTATCAGCAAGTATATATTAATGTTTCTGGCCTAAATACCTAAAGAAACTAATCACATTGTTAACATGCACCAATTTTTGATTAAAAACAGGGAAATTCTTAAATATTTACACCGCACCCGGTTTTTCTGTAGAACACGAATCGGCGCTTTCATCTGGCAATTTCTCCTTCCTAATTAGGTTTTCGTCATTTTCAAATATTTCGATATCCCCAAAACTCACGCGTTTGGAATGTGTCTTTACTGGCCCGTTAGCGTCTTTTATGTTGCTGATTCGTGGTATCGGAACGGTCTCAGGCACTGCCTTATTGTTCTTACTGATAACAATATAGTTCAATGGAATCATTCCAGACTTTCCATTGTGCACGCCATACGCCCATCCAGAGTTCTTCAAATTCATTTCCTCTTGAATATGAGTGGGTGCCAAAAGAATGTTGTCGTTCGTGTGAATGGTGAGCTCATTAGGAGACGTGGCCACAAAGTCAAAGCAAGCCTTAGCTTTAATTCCTGGCGATTTCCAATTAGCTGGGTCAAGCTTGTCTTCGTATTTCGGCAAAAATCTGCTGATCAAATATGGGGCCGAAACAATAACACCCAGAAAAGCTAAAGTAGGCCAACTTGAACCTGAAGGTGGAGGGCTTGCAGCTGCACTACCTGCCCCATACCCAGCCTCTTTCCACGCCAGAGACGAGGCACTTTTGGGCGCCTTCAGGCCCAACATTAGCCTCAATTTCCTGTACATCCATGTAATGAACCTGAAGACATTTACTGAGTACCAAATGTGGCCGAACATTGATCTTAGTCTTCCAAAGTTCTCAGCCACTCCTAGAATTGCACGAAATGAACTGGTCATCGCAAAAAATGTATTGTCCAACATCATGGCCAGGCTGTTAAAGGCGCGCACTACATTTTCCACACTGGCAAAAGTCTGTCGTGAGTTTTCTTCAGCGTATTGAATAAAGCGTCTTTCATGGTCATCTCCGGAATAATCTGGATTCTGGTACATGCTGTTGTAGTTGCTATATCCAGCTCCATAGCTTGACCCATAAAGAGCCCCTCTATATGGAGAAGCGCCATAGCCGCCAAATGAACCATAGGGCGAGTTATACGACGACAATCCATACGGCAATGAGTAACTGTTGCTTCCGGGGGGCAAAGGCCGCGGTGGTAGCACTGGAGCTCGGCCAGATATAAATGGAGCCCCCATATTTTGATTCCTTAAAAACTGAGCGGTGTTCTGCAAGGCCGAGGCTGGTTCCCACGGAGTGGACATTTTGTTCATCAATTACCTACGGTTCTTTATTTTAAAATTGCCAGACAGTGTGGAAAAACTCAACGGGGAAGAGTTTTGCACATCCTTGAAAGCTAATCTTTCACCAAACGCATTTTTCGAGTGAACTTTGACAGGATGATGTTGGCCACTTGTTTATCGCGTTATAAATTAATTGAGCCCACTTTTTAAGTACTTTAAGTTGATTTTTAATGATTATATTTTGTTTACGCGAATTTTTGACGTCAGGGATGTAAGTCAGACGCTCATCAGTCAGTTGCATATGTCAAGCAAGCCACAGGCAACCCGCCTTACAGACACTTTATATTCTAATATATGTGATACTAACCAAGTTCATGGTGCTGTTTGCGATTTTTTGTGTGCCGCTAGTCATTTTATATAATTCCCCTTTCAAAACACCGCAAAAAATGCATTATACAGCCACTACTTTGAAGTAAAATTCCAGCTATTGGCATTACTGCTTAAACGACTTGATTGTCAAAATATTGTCATTGTCAGTGTGTTCCGATAATTTTCATCATATTTCCAAAACACTTCCCAGAAAGAATGGCTGGAAAAAAGGCCAAACCAAAACAAACTGTGCAGAAAGCCAGTTTTGGCAAATTGCAACCTGACTGCGTTTTGTGCCCGATTTGCCGGACGATATTCGATCATCCAGTGACGCTGCCATGCGACCATGCCTTCTGCAGGCCCTGTTTCGAAGGATCCATGGAAAATGCGAACTTAATGTGCCCCCTGTGCCGATTGCGTGTTGGCTCTTGGTACAGGCGAACGAAAAAAGATGGCAAATTGGTCAATGAGGAACTGTGGAAGGCTGTGCAACAACAGTATCCATTGGAAGTGAAAAACAAGCTTCAGGGCTTGGATAACGACATTGAGGAAGGTGGGTGCAATTTTGGCCATCGAGTGTTAACTGGATTATTTGCATGCACATATGTGTAGAGTTTTACATGACTCTTCACTCCCAGGCTTCGCTGCTTTGCCTGCAGTGGCTTCTTGAAATGTTATTATCATCGATTGATTACCCTCTGGATTTTGGAGTTGAATCTATTTTTGTGCAGGTAAACCGGTTATCAGGGTATGCAATCCAGGCGAAATTCGGCAAGAATATGAAAAGGAGCGAAGGAAATATTTGGAGGAACAACAAAAATCCAGAGAAGTTGAAGAAAACGCCAGCGCTGTCCTTATTAAGAAGTTGACACTAGAAACAGGGTACAAGGAGACCGTTGAGGAGGAGAGATTAAGGTAATCGACTGAAAAGAAATGCTGCCATGAGAATGAGTCACTCAACCAATTGTTTCGTTGTAGATGGAATGCCGTGTTAGCCAAAAAACTTTCGGGAAAACTGCTCATGCCGTCAACCTCAAAACAAACCCCTCAGAAGCCGAAAGTATCAATGAAATTCGGTCCCATGGACAGGCTGGTTCAGACCGGCGATTGGATATCAACGCATGGCTTCTCGCAACAAACCAAAATTCCGCCCAAGAAGAAACAGCCGCAAATCAGCCCACAGTTTCCCAAAGCCTGTTTCAGCAAAGAATATAAGTGCCATGTGATTCCAGTGCCGAAAACCCAATTGAGGTGCAGCCGCGAGAAGAGTTGTCTGGATTTCGGGTTCAAACCGACCGGTGGGACGGAGAAGTGCCTCAAGTTGGTGGCAGGCCAGCGAAAATTGTGTGTCAGCGGCTGTAAGAGCAGCACTAGCGCGGAAAATAGCGACGTTATCGACCAGGAGTGTCGGTTTTACTTCAAACCGATTGATTCGCAGAGGCGGTTCCATGTTCCTGGTACGATACCTCGAAAGGTGGTTGCAGTGAAAGGCGTTCGCGATGATACTGTTTCTGTTGGGTAAGTAATGGATTAGTTTAATTCACAAAATGGTTTGCAGCGTTATTTAAATGCTGCTCATTCTGTTTTATTCATCCTTGTAAATATTTGTCTTCTGTTCCAGGCCTCCTTCAGGTAAAGTGCACTGCTTGGGAGAAGTGAGTTCCGCTTTCAGCAAGGTGTCAGCCAAGGGCGAAACGGTGGCGGAAATCGAGAAGAATTCGAGTCCGGACCCCGTTGAGCTGCAAAGTGAACCCCGTAAAAGAACGACTCTACTGAATCGGCAGAGCCCTATGAAAAAAATGCGGGTGCAGTCCGAGTCGGAACAGGAGAGAATGGAAAGTCCACCCTTCTACGGGTTTGATAATAGTGATAAGACGTTGCGAGAGTCTCCGTTTTCGGGCTTCGATGCAAACAACGTGCGGGATTCTGAAAACAAAACGCAAACGCTTGCCGATTTCATATCGAAATTGCGGCGCTGCGAGTCGACAGAGCGGCTTGAGATTGCGAGTGGATCTAGTGGACGGGCGTCGTCTTCATCCAAAGAGAACAATTTTCAAGCCAATATCCCCAAAACGGAAACAGCCGCTACTAAACCTTGCAGAAGCACAACTAGTCCAAGTGCCAGTGAGGATCGGAGACGTGTACAGGAAGAAGCAGACTATCAGCTGGCGAAGAAACTGCAGGCGGAGTTCGACCTGATTGAAGCGCCCGTGAGGACTAGGGGAAGCAGAAGAAGACAGATTACTCTAGATGAAATGCTGGTGGTCTAGCGGCGCGTGTTTTAGATTTAAGTTAATTTAGAATTACAGTACCTGGTGGGCGAAGCAGATGAAACGCAGTGAATCTTTAACTAAACGTGATAGTGATGGGTCAAAAACACATCACAAAGTGATATGTCTTGTGAATAGTGATTGGTGCATTGCAATCATTTTTTGCCAATATTGAATAGGGAAAGTTGTGATAGTTAATGTTCCAAACTGTATATTGTACATACCTAAACATTGTACATTAACTATTTCGAAAGTTCTTAGTTACAATGGTATTATTTTTTGTACGCTTTTATTCGTCATTTAAATGTGTTTAATCGGCGTTGAAAGATCGGTTTTATTTATCTGATTTTACCTTTTTTACGTGCTCAGCAGTAGAGGAATAATGGGGTAAAAATGTTGAAATGCTATTAAAGAGAGTAGGAGATTTAAAACTTTTTCACGCCACTGCAGATTCCGATTTTTTCTATTTAATGTTGTCTGGCACATTTTTTCGTTTTGTCGATTTTGCTGTATTTATACTTAGTAAAAAAATACAATAGGTTTATAGGTACGTGTAGTTTGAGGTTGCTCCCGCTTTCTTCTACCAAAGCATTTCAGGTCTGTCTCCAGACTGATTACACGGAGATTTAGCGCAAAGTTTCCTATGCGAGCTGCATTGGGTTTATTTGAGCTTTTTCGTTTTTTGTAATACATGAGTCAAATGCTAATTAATTGCTATTTAATGAATTGATTTAGCAAGCTAAAGCTTAAAAGCAAGGAAAAAGGCAAATCTGCCGCCGTGATCGCAAGTGCGGATTTTTTAGAAATCTGACATTGCGCTCAATTATTTGTTTACATGTAAAATCTTTATGTGACGAGGCTTTTGAAATTAATTACTCACATTAGCGCTAATTACCGTCCCTAATCGGAGCTCCAATCAACGTTCAGCTGCCGCTTGATCAAGAGCCTTTTTTGTGTAAGTAGATTCTTCCCCGTTTATGCTTAATCGCAACCTGTTCGCTGTTGCAATTGTGCACTGCGTAGTTTTTCAAGTGCAATATGTTCGATTTAGTTAACAAGCTCGGAGCTTCCCAAGAAAACTCACGACCCATTGGAATTTTGCGTTGTCATGATCATAGAATAAGGCTTATTGGTCATGATGCGACAACTCGTATAACTCAAAAACTTTTATGCACATGAACCACAAATCATGTGCAAGGGGGCGACAGGGGCGGATCCAGCTTTAAATTCAGAAGCACGCATTTGTTAAGGCCAACCAAGTTAATAAACAACGAAACCCCTCGGAACAAAACAACATTTTTATGGCCACTCAAACCCTAGTGTTTAAACACACGATTGCACCAATCAATGTTGAAACAACGAAGAGATCTGCGTTAATCGCAGTCACTTGCTACTTGTTTTCGAATGGCTTGTTTTACTGCATGGTAATCGGTTGTTTACTCATTAAATGCTAATAAGAAGCGTGTTTATTGTAATCGTTCGGTCTTTAAACACACAAATGCCCATAAAATATCTTTAATCACTTCCACTGCTGGGGTTTTTCCCACTGGTCGAAACTGGTTGATGATTAGTGCTACTTATCGCAAGACTGCCCGTCTATATAAAAAGACCGACGCCCGAACAGGCTCGACATCATTTCGCATCAAGTGCTTTGCATATCTTCTAAGGAGTTTTTTTCCAGTCATGTTGGTGAAACTATTTGTTCTGATTGCCCTGGTTGCAGTAGTCATGTCCGCTCCGTTGCTCCTCGAGCCTGTGGACATCCAGAAGGAATGGACCAATTGGAAGGTAATCACCTAATCACTAATCGGTAGTATTTCTGTTAACTGATGGATGCTTTCCAACAAGTTATCTTGCTTCTTTTCGCCCACAAACACTTCAAGCTTGAATATTTCTTAGACCACACACAACAAGAGCTATCCAACTCCCGAGGAAGAAGCAGCGCGATTCAAGACGTTCGAGGAAAACGTTCGCAAAATCACCGAACACAACAAGAAATATGAGGCCGGCGAAGTCACCTGGACCCAAGGTCTGAACCACTTCGCTGACCAAACGCAAGAGGAATTCGCCAGGCACAATTTGGGCCTGCGAAAACCTGAAGCTCCTGGACTTGTTGGATCCCATTAAAGAGCGGTTGAATTTGCATTCTTTTTTAGATTTTATAAATATGTTGAAACCCTGCACAGTAAAGTTTTTTAGGTAGAAGTTTTCAGTGTTTTTGTGGGCAAATAACGAAAGTAGACCGGGATGAAGAGTTTATTGAGACGACAGGTATTTGCAGCCGAAATACATTGATTGCTCAATGAAATAATAGTGTACAATTAAAATAAATATGCTGGAGGGGTGACTTTACGTGTTCTAGTCCTGAAACAACAAAAACCTTCAAGTAGTGGAAGTCCCCTTCGCCGGTAAGGGGGTTTACCAGGTGGGTTTACGAGGTAGGGGGCTCGAGGTCAGCAGGGATTTCAGGACTCGTTTTAAGGGGGCCATCGCCAGGACTAAGGGATTCCTCAATACTTACGCTCGCTGTGTTCTTGACTTCCTCCACTTTGGGCTGATCTGAAATTAACGAAGATGCGGTGGTTTTAACCGAGTCCCAGGCTTCTGAAAGGCTCGATGGCACTTTAGGGAGCGTTGGGAGCTCTAAAGGGGGCTCGTCTTTCTTCACTGTAACGCGCCGACAAATGTTTTGCCATTGAAATGGTTTGCGTGCACTTACCTCCGTAGGCGAAGTTGTAGGCGATTGTTAGGTATTTTTTGCTTTCTACTACCCCCAATTGGGAGTATTTGGCGGCTTCTTTCGGGTAGCAGACCGCGGCCATACCTGGGGCAAATAACAAAAGCACACGGATAAAGAACTTAAAACCAAGAAAAATCCACCTAAAGCGCCAGTCGTAGCATAAATGGTCTTCTTGAAAAATCCCCCACGCAGACCGAAAACCAGGCCTGCTAGGGCTCCAATTCCAATAGCCCCCGCTTTAGGAAGCGCGTTGTCCTCTTGGCGCAAATAATCCACCAACCCTAGCAAAAACATGCTGATTAATATGGGAAAAGTGGGCGAACACGGCGCTTACACTCAATATTCTGCTTGCTTTCGCTCAAGCTTTGTTTGGCCACCTTTTCGTAGGCGTAAAACTCATCGGAGTACCGGCCGAGCGTTTGGCGGACGGTCTTCACTGAGTTCTCAATAAAGTTGGGGGTGCTCTCCTGGCTGCTTTCCCCTACATTTCCCCCGAGTTTGGGAGGCTCTGGTGTGTAAATCGGCAATTCGCTTGGTCTGGGAAAAAATAAAACATCGTCTCAATAATTTAAGAACGTTAGTTTACAAGAAGCTCAAGATTTCCCCAAAAATGGGCAACTTTCGGATGTCGGAGGGGCGCGTCGCAAACGAACTACTTGGGGAAAATCGCATTATTTCTACCCAAGCTCTAAGACAAGGCTGAAGGCTAATTAAATGAGTATTTTATGGCGACCTTTACCTGCATACTGGAGCAGGAATTTGGGGCTCTGAAGTTGTAGACTTGGCTAATTTAGCTTCTGCAACGAGAGCAGCCGCTGGGAGCAAGCATCTTCGTATAACCTAGAATTTTACAATTCCTTAAAAAAATCAACTGCACGTGACTTGTTCCAGTTTATAGCGTAGAATTGTGCCATTTGCTATGCGAAAACGCTTTTTCACACTTACCAAGCTGCCAAGCATGTTTTTTCTTAAAATTTTTGTTAATGAAGAATTACATAAAGGTGTTTTGACAAGGCGGGACAGGACAGGGGCGTCCAACTATTTGCTAGGGGATGAAATTGAAGCTTATTAGGGAAGATTTGAAGGATCAGATGAAATTTTACTAAACTTGGATGATAATTGAATACTAAAAATGTGGGCACTCGTTTTTAGATCAGGAATCAATTTTTCTGTGGTAAATCAGCGGCGGCTCGTCTTTGATGCCTGGGTTGTAGGCAACACACAGTACAGAATGCTGCCATTTTGCCGCAAAGACTGCCATGGGACAATGGCCCTTAAGTCATCTGGGTTTAAGGGCTATAGTTGCGCCTTCAACTAACCGGCTATAATTTTGAGTTTATTTTTTCGGAATTTTTCGGAGCGAGCGAGAAGCTCACTTTGTCTTGCACCAAAATGCGTCCTGTATGGGGATTTTAAATGAATTTCAATTAATGTAGATGCATGAAGAATTTGCTTTATTGCATCTTTTGCCAAAAAAGTTACTTTTTATGAATTAAGTCCACCTTACACCTGTTTTTGTTGCCAACTTTTTACTCAATCTAACCCAAAAAACCGATGTTGATCTGGATCGGCGCTGGAAGAAATGCAGCAAAACCTGCACTTTAAACCTCCATATAAATAAAACAAACAAAGTGACTCAATAACTTTATGTAATATATATTAAGCTCAATAATAATCATCTTTGAAAAAAATACGTAAAGCCTTTCAATTGGCAAAATATTTCAGGAAAGATTTTGCAATTAAAAAAAATAGTTAAAACGATTGTATGTAAATATATATATATGTATGTATGTATAGTAACTTTACCTAATTGGGCGACACCTTTTAAAATTAATTAAAAGTAATAATTAGTAGATACAAATAAACTATAATTAAACAATTAATATTTTCAATAATGAGGTGACGAGAACGTATAACGAGAAAAACGCATGTGGTCTTTGGAGATCTGGACTCATCTAGTTGATCGTAAATATTCGATAAATGTTTTAATTTCCAGTGCCATGTGGAACTCGGAAAATGTAAAAACCTTATTTGCATCGAAATATTTCATAAAAAGGAAATATTTGTAATCAGTCGTATCGTTTCCGTTACACATTGACACACCTGTATCTAAATAAATAACTTCGAACAATTCATACAGCTACAATATATAAAACTGAAAACTAACATGAACAAGTACAGAACAATTAAGGTTGGTTGCGTACGACAACCAGACACTTAAACGCATGTTATTATCATAGTATTTTCTTTGCGAATTTTCGTTTGATTTGAGGAAACAACAATGTTAAAAACGTCGTCGGAGATCAGTTGGGTGGTCGATTATGTTGCGGGCTGCTGCTGGGTCTACATGGCCACTTTGACCAGAATGATCAAGTTGAGAATTATGCAGAATACAGCAAACAGCAGCACATACATGCTTTTCGAGTACGAGGAAACGTCGAAAAATTCTTTGTATTCTTCGCGGGCGACGCGCGATTTGTGCTTGGAACCTGAAAATCGAACGCAATTCACCTTTACAATCCCCAACATTCTAGACACGAAAATACTACATTGGAACCTGATGCAAATCCAAAAATTGTTACTTGATCCACTCGATTCTCCTATAGAATTTAAAAATAGAAACATTCAGCTCCTACTTAGCTTTCAACCAGCTTTTAAAACGTGACTTTTGTGCATCAGTGTGTGTGCTGAGTTTACATCAAAACACTGGCGAAATTGTAAGTTTTATTGCACGCGTTTTATTCGTTGAAAATCACGAAATATCAGGATCTGTGATTATAGCAAATCAAGTGTGATGAACATTGAAAAACAAGACGATTTTTTAAAGTTAAGAACAGAAAACAGTAAAGAAATAACAAACTAACAGCAGATTTAAGCCAAAAAATCACTTAACCACCTTTTCTGGGAACGAAATCATGAGCAAAAATCTAATCAATTGCAAAGTTAATTAATCGTTTAGAAATCAATAAAAAATGCGAGACAAACAATGCAAAACCGGTAGAAATAGAGGTAAAAATGGAATAATAAAAAACCTACTTGATAAGTGAATGTTGAGTTGAATTTCGCTGTTGGCAGTCACTTCGCAAAGGTCACAATGGAACGATTTGCCTCTTCTTTCCGCTCTGGACTTGTGCTTCCGCCCTTCCAAGTGCCGTTGGAGGATTTTCGTGCTGGTCACTCGAATATTGCAAATTTCGCAGAACAACTAGAGCAAATGTACTGGTTTCAGTGCCAGTTAAACGAGTTTGTTCAGTTGATTCCTAAGTTTTAATGACAAATTGCTAAAATGTTGCTTAGGGAGGAAAAGGAGGCTCAAAAGTTGATCATCCATTTGGACTTATTGTAGATCAGAGCCTTTTGTCAGGTATTTCCGGAGATGTTCACACATTTGTTCTCTATTCAACTCTAAGCGTAAAAAAGGAAGAAACGGCTTCATGGAGGATATACAGTAGTATAGTATAGATATCGGGTTGCTAGTAGTTTTGTTTTTGTTGCCCTTTCCGGGACGATTTCATGGGAACTTTGGGAACGAAAAGGTCTGAATATAACAATGCGTTTTTGTGCCTAAAATTTTACAGTACCGTGCCCAAGAAGCAACTAAGAATAAAGCCGCGATTTGAAATTAAAAAGTGAATTCTAGGCAGGTAATGGTATGTTCAAGTAGCGCCTGGCGATACGGAAATGCGAATTCTTGCGAACTCTTGAACCATGTAGCAGGTCGATTGAGAAAAAAACTGTTGAAGGCATAGCAAACTCTTCAAAAACTCATAGAAAGTGCAAAAAATCTGCAGTGAAAGCGGCAAGAACTCAAGCAACAGCTTCGACAGCCACGTGGATAAAATTGCGACTAAATATAAGGAAAATTGAAAATTCCAAGACAAAAACGACCTCAACTTACGGCTCCATCGCTCGTGTTGCTCACAGTGCTCATTTGACTGCTCAACGGGTTGAAATGGGTTCCGGAGAACGCGCCCGGCGATCCCAAGGAGACCTTCCTGCTCAGATCATCGTGAAAATCTTCATCAATCCGTCTGTTGATGTCCGGATCGTCATCCAGGATCTCAGCCACGTCTTGGACACCACTGTGGAGATTCCCGGACATGGTTTTGCAGAGATCGGTACGCAGTATGAACGCAATTTTAACGCCGTTTAGTGTTCCAGATCTCAAATAACATTAAATATCGACTGCGGACTACAATTTACTGACTCGAATTGGCAAAGAATCGGCCAAAAAAGTGGAATTTCTGAGCAAAAAACCTCGGCGATTTATGCGCAGGTTGTTCAGAAGACGGGCCTCGTGAAGGTTCATGAGGATCGGTTTTAAAGCAACTGAACATGCGGATTTTGTTGATAGTATTTAGTAAATTTGTCAATTCTGTGCCTTTTTAGCGGGCGAAATGGGAATACAACATGACTCCCTGTGGAGCCTTTTACGAGTTTTAGAGGATTTTTATGTATTTTTATGACGATTCAAAAGCAGCTCATTTTATTAATTGGATTAATCGGCTAGCATGAAATGCGTCAAACGCCGCATGCAAATACCATAAATTCCATATTTAGCACACAACAAAGTCGTTGTGTTACGGTTCACGCATACGAATTTTCAAGGAAAGGCGTCATCCAACTATGTATCGTATCGGAAAACCTCAATCTTCGCGGCATATGGAGATTATTAAGCCACGCTACTCACTTCTTCATGAGGTGGACGAAGAAGTTAAGAAAATTTGGATTTGCATTAGGGGGGAGGAGGAAGAATTGTCTCTGTAAATGCGACTCTGCTTAGTCAAGTAATCAAAAATATTTGCATTTTTCTGTTTTTTGAGACTTCACCAAAACATTAGGATGATTTTTCCCTTATCTGCTTCAAAAGCTGCAGTATTTCCAACAAGGCCCGAAACCTAAGCTTGGATTGCAAACCATGTTGCTATAAACTGGCCACCTCGTTCGCCTGATTTCGCGCCCCTAGATTTTTCGGGGTGGGGTTTCATTAAAGCTTAAAAAAAAATTAATTCAAATGCAAATGCAAAGCTGATGCATACTTTTGTTCGAAATTTACCCACAGGCTGCAAAAGTCTTCACTGAGAAAAAATTAATTACCTTTTGAAGTCGACGCTGCGCACGCCAAGAGAAATCGTTCTATTGGCATAAGAAAAATCGCAAAAAATATTCCGAGTGCGTCCCTGAATTGCATTTTTTTGCACCTACAGAGTGGACAGTTCCCTATCTAATAAACCACCGGGAAAGTCGCTATCTGGAGCGGTTGTGCAGAAATGAATTTTTGAAGTTGACCTTGCAAAATTCCAAAGGAGGTGTTTAACAAATTGCCGAAAATCCCGTAAGGACGCCACTGGACTACAACTTCTAGCTCATCTAAAGACGGAAATTTCCCATTTATCCAAACCAGTTGCAAGTTCCTATCTGTAAATGAATTTTTGAACGTGATGCTGCAACTTGCTCAGGGGCTCGATGTTCCAGAGGATCCTTCTTTCACCACTTCGTTTTCCAAAAGTTTTTCCGAACCTGGCCGGCGGAAAACCCACTAATTGACCAGAGAGACTCCTAATTTTCAGTACTATTAGTTGCAGCTGGGTGAGAGCACAACATGGAACCACTTCAAGTGTTGGTACCCTTAATAAGCAGAAGACATGTCGGAATGCGCCGCTGTTTATTTGAACAACCCGATGCAATTAGTAAATTTTTTATTGAAGTGTCCATTACCTGCATCTGACTAAGAGCATTTAGGTGCAATAAAAATTTAACAGTTTTCTCATCGCATAGTTGCGGTTGGTGCTTGCAAGTCGCCCCAAGCTGATTGATTGATGGTTTTTCGCATTCGGGCGCCTTTAATTAATTAACCGCAAATAACACACATTGTTTTCGCTCATCAATGTTAAACAGTTTTAACATGTATGTAAATGGTCGATAATTCGAAGCCAGTCGAGGTCTCTTATCGGCTTGGAACCGCGCTATCCAATATGCATGAAAAAATTAATTAGACGCATGTAATTTCCCGAAATTTGTCCACATTTGAGCATTTGCAGTTCCACGTTAATTACCACGGCTAACACTGCAACGGATTGGTCGGTTTTATTGAGTTTTCCACGTCAAAGTGCAGTTTTATGCGAATTTTTGTTCAGGTAAGTCGACTGATTTCTCTCACATTTTGCGAAGCAATTGGGTTTTGGCCAGCAGTGTTTAAAATAATTTTAATGACTCCCTTTGGTCTGTGTCGACTAACGATTTTTCTAATTTCAACAATTTAAGAAAATAAATACTTTGCACGGTGACAAGCACCAACGCGAATGAAACGCATATTATGAATATTACGCTGTTATTATCATTATATGGCGTTGAACATTAATAGTAGCTCTCTTAATACGGGCCCGATTGGGATCATTGAAAATTCCTTCAAAAGCGCGTGATTTTGTCTAAAACTCGTATTTTGCAAACTGGGAATCGGTGCAGAAACTTGAAAGTTATAAGAGTTTGAAGGTCGAAAGGCGATTTTCCAGGACAAATGTTATCAATGCTTTTCTTGCGGATTTAAGGTCGTATTTTTTTGGAAAACAGCTTTTTGTGTGTAGAAATTTGTTGAAAAATGTCCAATTTTCTATAAAAGCACTGCTACTGCTAAAAATTGCATTGCAATCGGCTGAAAAAAAAGTTATGATGACTTGAAGGCCGAAAAGACGATTTTCCGAACAAAATACTTTGAGTTTGTACATAGATTAACTCATTTTCAAAATAGAACATCAGATTCTTTGCAAAGTGTATTCTCGACACATTCAGTGTCTATTAGAAAATTTGTCTTTGCAACAGTTTGGAAAGAAATGGGCTCTGAATATTGGCAAGAGTAAAACTCTCAAACAAACATCCATCAACTCTTTGCCCTGTAACTCGGTCAGTTATCAACATTTTGCAGAAATTCAAAAACGGTTTAAAAGCCCACAGGCTTATACTTACTCTACTACTACTTAACTCAATAGTATAAACAAAAAATTTGCGGTAAAAATTTTTTTTCCAAAATTTTGGGTTTTTTTTGGAAATTGCAATTGTGCAAATTTTTCACTTAAGAGTGGGATTTAGACCAAAATTCCGCCTTTCATTGATATGGTTTTTGCATTTAGTTTCGGGGCAAATTGAATTCGGAGTTAGAGAGACTTAAACTGCCACCCACATTGTTTGCACACTGATTTGCCCATAACTGCGCAACTGTTAAAAATGCTCCAAAAAGCAAAAATGTCCTGGATTGCCACGGGGATTTGCTAGGGTTCAGCTGTCTTGACAAAAATCGACATTGGCAACGGTTTGGGAGATAATGAGCCCTGAATGTTGGCAACCGTTCGACGCTTCCCGTTGCGCGCACGTCCACTCTTTTGCCGCTAACTTGGTTGACTGTAAAGATATTTCAAAATTTCTAAAAGCCGCAAAAAGCCCAAGGAACCAGCTATAAAAACTATCCCAGCTTCAAATTGGATAGCGACTTCAACAAAGGAATGAAACGAGTTCGAACTCAGAGAGTGTGCAACCTCTCAAAATCTGTGAGAAATGAATGTTAGTTGAAAAACTCTAATGATAGACAATTTGGACTTGGTTTCTACAACTAAGTAAAACCCGATTAAACGCACTCACTATCATCTAAAATTAATTATCAACAAAATTGGCAGGAAACATTTCAGAATCAGCTTTGGACTATGCGGTCATGTTTGTATGTTATTTTGCTAGATAAGACACAAGTTTACGAGTACAGCTGCCCCCTAGGGGCAAAGTAAAAGGAAAAAATGATCAGTTACTTTTCTGGAAGTTTTGGAAAATGGATAAAGCTCATTTACAACCYCACTTCACAACATCCGTTTTTATTKTTAACATCAATGCYTGAAGMAKKMWAACSCTTGAATGATTTGCAWGMCTGGTTKWATGGTGMMAASMAGAAGGTTTTGGATCTCATATATGCTGCTTGCCTCCAATTTTCCGCAAACTGTTTGCAGTTTTAGCGCGTAAAAACGCGACGCTYTGACRAAACCAYTCCCAAAACTGTACAATTAAAATCACTTGAATGCAGATAAACTAATCCTCATGTTGTCCATTGGTTACAGGTGGTGGTACTCTCGAAACTGGTTTTCACCTTCGAGTTTAGGATGCCAACTTATCAGATTAGTTGATAAGATTTAGGCAGAGCTTATCTGCGAAAAAAACCAAGCGGTCCGACTTAGTGCAAAAAATGCTGCGGTGCTGGATGGATTAGAGGAAAGATGGACCAAGGCGAGAGGACAGTTAAGAAAGTGAACCCCAGGCAGAGTGCCTCGATTGCTTCTATCATATTTTTCTGGTAAGCACGTCTTCACTTCACCGGGGGTCCTCTGGACGACTTAAAACGCTCTACCACACATTTCTCGAAACGTTTTCCTGATACACATGTGTAAAGTTAACAAGGATTATTATCAACATTTGACCCCAGTTGGTATATTTAGAAGCAGTTAGTATGCGAACTGAAACCGCGTTTGAGTCATAGTATTTCGGGGCTGGGTTGTTCGAAGATAAGATAAGTTTTACGGAGAAATGCGATCAAGTTTATTTTTATAAACTTCTGCAGCTTCACTGCGCCCATCCTGCGGATAGGCCGTAGGCGCGATCTGCAAGAGAAGGATGTCTATCGGGTGCTGCCAAAGTTCGAGTCGGAAAATCTGGGGAACCGACTGGAGAAAACATGGAGCGACAGCAGGGAAAAGCAGCGAAAACAACCGGAACGAGAGGCGAACCAGAACGGCACCAAAGCGAATCTCGCGACGAAGAATCAGTTGGAAATCAGCAACGTTTCAATAGTTTCCTGCCTGGTCCGAACCTTCGGATGGTACTATTTTGGCCTGGGAGTGCTGCAATTGGCAATGAAAACCGCCGTGATGTAAGTACAAAAGCATAATCCGCTTAATTGGATTGATAAATACGGTTCCCTCAAGGACGCATAGTGAATAGTTATTTACAGATGAATCCCCAGATTGAAATCAACCTATAGATTATCGCAGTTTGCTCAGTCATTGCAGGATTTCGAGTACGATCCAATAAAACTAAAATGGAATTTTATCAGCTGCTATCAAATGGGTTTTTGAGGCAACAAGTGCGAGCTTCCAAGGAACTGGACCAGCACCAGGCCAGATTAGATGGATCAAACTTACTCCAGACACTTGCTTATTTAAAAAATCCACTGCTAATGCGAGTCGCTAAAGTAAAATTTGATGTAGATTACTGCAGCCTCGAGTCATATCGAAATTCGTCGCCTATTTCGATCCAAGCCAGGAAAGCGTGTCCAGATCCGAAGCCTACAAGTATGCCGCCTTTGTGATCCTCGTGAATGTGATCTCGTGCATCTACAATCACAACTATCAGCAGCTGATCATGGAATACTCGGTGGCAGTGCGAGCGTCTTTGTGCTCCCTCATCTACCGCAAAGCTTTGAAGCTGAACTCGGTCGATTTTTCCGAAAGCTCCTCCATGGGGAAGGTAATGTCTTTTGCAGAGGCTTGGAGACGCATTATCGCCTCTTTTCCAGGTGGTCACGTTAATCACTAAGGACGTGCACTCGATTGACGGAGCAATGATGTTCCTGAATGATATGTGGATTGGAGCGATTCAGGTGGCCGTGATCACTTTCATGCTCTACCGGCGAATTGGAGCTTCGGTTTTTGTGGGAATTGGGTTCTTTTTGCTGGTGGTTCCCGTGCAATGTAGGGCCTGGTCATTAGCTGCGGGCAACAAGCTGATTTTCTGACCGTTTGCAGCTTATTGCGGTCGGAAGTTTTCCTTGACCAGACTGGTTGCTGCTAGGAAGGCGGAGGAGAGGATCCAGCTGGTCAAAGAGGCGCTCAGCGCCATACGAATCATCAAAATGTACACTTGGGAGAAGTACTTTGAAAAACTCATCACTCTGGCCAGAATGTATGCATCCTGTGAGCGCTGCTTGAAGAGCAAATTCACCGCAGTTGATTTTCAGAAACGAGACTGATAAACTGAAAATTATCTACTACCTGAAAGCCACCATCCTGACTCTGGGTGGACTGACTATGAAGGTGGCATTTTTCTTGCTGATTATGACCTACACCTTGATAGGACAATCAGTAACGGCGGAAACCGTGTATTTTACTCAGCAGTGCTTCTTTGTGCTGCGTTCCTGCATTACCACGTCCATTCCCATGGGAATCAACAATTTGGCTGAACTGTGCGCTGCAATGCGAAGGTAGGAGCATTTATTTGCTTACGTACTTTAGTTCTTACTGTTATTTATTCCCGTTCTTAACAGAGCAAACATTTTTATTTTTGTGGGTTTTTTCAAATTCTTTAACATTTTTTTACCAAAGCTGCCAAGAAGAATTTAAATATGCTTTTGCAACCTCTCCACGCTAAAAAAAAACTGCTAGAGGGAGCAGCAAGACAAACTGTTAATTTAAACACTGTTGGGGTAGTTTGGCGACGGCCGTCTCAATCGYAAGGCACTCCCCTATAGCTGTCCTTGTCAGTGCATTTGAGCAGTGCAATAAACAGAGCGCGGAATGTTTAGCGCTCCCTCTGCGTTACTTACAGTACAAACTATGCCTATTCTTGTCTGTCACATTGCATTTACGCCCAACCGTTTGGAAAGGGCAACGCCAAACTGCCCCAGATTATTCAAGTTTTTTCAGTTTTTGAAATATCGGCGTGTATAGTGAAGTAGGGTGGTCTCATAAAATGGACAAAACTCCACTCAATGAGATCCCTGAGGTCGATTTCCTTGACGGATAGAGTTGTTTGAACGCAACAGGTGCTTTAAAAAATTACCTGCCAAAATAGAGAAATAAACTCCACTATTTAAACGGTGAAAGTTTGCCTTTTATGACCGGTGTGGGCTCATTTTTTCTCTCAGTAAAAAGCCTCTTCTGGACAAGAAATTGTGCGACCCAAATTAAAAAAATAGTGCCAATAAATCAGCAGAGGTAGAAAGTTGTTTTTGGCATTATTAAATTGAAGAATCTCCACTCCCCGATTCTTCAAAGGTAGATTTTCGCGACTAGTTTGGCCTAATTTTGAGATTTTTTTTGGCTGCTGCTTTTTACATTCTTCAATTAAGTAAACTTCAGTCCATGATTGCGCAAAGTTTGACTTCGCGGCAGGTTTCGGACAATTATCAGAAAACGATTCGACAAAAGTGCATGCACAAGAAAAACTGTAACTTAAATTTCAGCCAATCACGATAAAAAATTGGGAAGGGGCGCAAGCCTGTTTTTAACACCTTTAAATAGAGAAAAGCCCACTCTACGATTCCTCTAAATTTGAATCTCGTGGCAGGTTTGGTCAAATTTTAACAATTTTTCGAAAGACCATTCGTCGAAAGCCGCTTTTGGGCAAGACAAACTGTAACTCACAATTTAAACACTGTTGGGGCAGTTTGGCGACGGTTGTCTCAATCGCAAGGCACTCCCCTATAGCTGTCCTTGTCAGGGCATTTGAGCGGTGCAATAAACAGAGCACGGAATGTTTAGCGCTCCCTCTGCGTTACATACATTACAAACTATGCCTGTTCTTGTCTGTCACATTGCATTTAAGCGCAACAGTTTGGAAAGGGCAATGACAAACTGCCCCGGATTATTCAAGTTTTTTAAGTTTTTTGAAATATCGGTGTGTATAGTGAAGTACGGTGGATTTTAATTAAACTCGCTGTACAATTTTTCCTATGTAAAACTCATGTTTTTTGAGCGTCTTGATACAAAAATTACCAGAACGGGTAAAAAAAGGTTTTCACATTTGAATGTTTTAAAGCAAAACACTTTTAGTATGTCTGGAACTGATAAAGCCGAAATTAAAATTCTCCAGATTCAGACAATACTTGAACACTCCGGAATTCCGAGCCCGTAACATCAAAGATCTGCCATCGAACAACCCCAGAGTGTTCCTGAATAAAGTATCAGTAAAAATCCAAGAGAAAAAGGTCTTGAGGTCAGTTTCTCTCGATGTTGAGTCCGGCCTGCTGATAGGTAGGTACTTCTTGCTTGATTGCTTAGGGAGTTTCGCAAGCCCAATCGCTCCGATTTCAGTGACTGGAAACATTGGCAGTGGCAAAAGTTCGCTGCTAAAAACCATTCTTAACGAATACGCCATTAGTGCCGGTAAAATTGGAGTGCGAGGCACAATTTCCTACGCGCCCGAAGAACCTTGGCTGTTTCCTTCGACGATTCGCCAGAACATCCTCTTTGGACAACCGTACGATGAGAAGCGATATCAGGAAGTTCTGCAGGTCTGTGCACTCACTTATGACTTGAACCAATTTGAGAAACTCGATAACACCGTGGTGGGGGACAAAGGCATTAATCTGAGCAAAGGACAGCAGGCCAGAATATGTCTGGCTCGGGCGGTATATAAGGACAGCGATATTTACTTGCTGGATGACTGTTTGTCTGCCTTGGATGCACATGTATGTTGAATTAATCGCCTAAAGAAGGGTCTCTACAGGTAAAATATACTGCAGGTTAACAATCACGTTTTCAAAGAATGCGTCAGCGGATTTCTGAGCAACAAGCTGGTGATTTTGATCAGCAACAATGTGAATAACATCAGACAGGTCCCTACTGGCAACGTCCTTTTCATGGAAAATGGGGAAACGCTGGATTTGGATCAGCAGAAAAAGGCTTTGGATAAGAGAATTACTTATTATATAGATGAAGGTTAGTTGAGAGCAAACTTGACCGTCCGAAATACTTTATGATTATTGCAGACAATCCATACAGTTACGATGATGAAGATGACGACGAAGATACCAACTCTGAAACTGACGAACTGCTGAAGAAAGAGGCAACCGAGCCCAGAAGAAACATTTTCCACGAGGAAAACAAGCAAGGCTCGGTGCTGTGGAAGAACTACGTCACTTATTACAAGTACACCGGTGGAATAATGGTGCTGATTTTCACTGTTTTGCTGTTTGCGATCTGCCAGTTCGCCTTGGCCTATTCTGAGAAGCTTCTGAGCCAATGGCAAGTACCCAGTTCCTCGATCAGAAAGGTTCTGATGACTCAACCACTTTGCCTTGCAGGGTAAACACTGAATCGGTCATCGCCAACTTGGTCAAGCAGAATGGCACGGAATCTGGAAAATTTGATGCTGCAGTAGACAGAAGGGAGCACCTGCTCAGATTCTACACAGCTTTTGTTTTAATAGGCGCCCTGTTGACTCTGCTGCGCTCCTTTTCCAACTTCTACTTTTGCACCCAAGCGGGCAGGAAGCTCCACCAAGTGTTCATTGTGGGAGTGCTCAATGCCTATATGAGCTTCTTCGACAGTCACTACATCGGCAACATTGTGAACAGAGTCTCAAAGGACTTCCACACCATTGATGAAAACATTCCCTTCATTATCTACGAGAATCTTCGGGTGAGTACCGCAGGATGGGGCTGGGGAAACGGGTTTATCGGGGTTTTCGCTGGTTTTAGTCGTTCTTCATTGTGCTATCCACGATCGTTCTGATCGCGTCGGTGAACTTTACCTTCTTGGTTCCCTCATTTCTCCTTTTCGTTGTGCTGTTCTTCATTCAGCGCTACTACATTCCAACTGGGCGGAGCTTGAAGAGGCTGGAAGCAGCTAGTAAGTGCAAACTAACAGCAAAATTATTGCAGTTTTTGATTGGATTGTTCACCTTCAGCCAGAAGTCCGATGATCGGCTACATAAACGCGTCGCTGGAAGGTCTGGCCACGGTCCATGCATGCCAAGAAGAGAAGCTTCTTCAGCACGAGTTCGACAGACATCAAGACTTTTACATTTCGGCTCACTACATGTCGAATTGCGCCGTTCGGGCTTTCGCCTTTTCCATGGACATGACCTGCATGGCGTTCATTTCGTACATAGTACTGAAGTTCGCCCTTTATCCTAATGGTGAGTGTTGAGTCGTTTGCCTAGCGAAGCCCTGATGAGCCCTGGACATGTTTCAGGAGCAAATGCAGGAGACGTGGGTCTGGCAGTGACGCAGGCCATGACCTTAGTAGGTCTTCTGCAATGGGCAGTTCGCCAAGCTGCCGAAATGGAAAACACGATGACCTCGGTTGAACGAGTGCTGGAATACGCGGAAACTGACCAAGAGTACAACGTGGGCTCCATCCTGCCCGATTGGCCCCAGTCGGGCAGTTTACGCTACGAGAACGTTTCGTTGACCTACAAAACAACCGGCGAACGCGTCTTGAAGAACATCAGCTTCGAAATCGGCGGAAAAGGCAAGATTGGCATAGTAGGCAGAACGGGGGCTGGCAAGTCGTCGATTATTTCCGTCCTGTTCCGGTTGTACGACTACGAGGGAACCATCACGATAGATGGCGTGAACATTAAAAGTCTGAACTTGGAGCACTTGAGGTCCCATGTGGGGATCATCCCTCAAGACCCCATCCTGTTTAGAGGGACCATTCGCTCGAATATCGACCCCCTGCACCAGCACTCAGATCAGGACATCTGGGCGGCCATCGAGAAAGTGCAGATGAAGAAGTGGATTACCAGTTTGTTCCAGGAAATCGACGACTATGGGCAAAACTACAGTTCTGGGCAGCGCCAGTTGATCTGCCTGGCCAGAGCGTTGGTCTGCAGGAACCAAATCATCGTGCTGGACGAAGCCACGGCCAGCATGGACGTGGAAACTGACCAGCTGCTTCAGCGGGCCATGCAGGATCACTTTGAGAACTGCACCGTGCTGACTATCGCTCATCGCATGGCCTCCTTTCAGGCTGCCGACAAAATCCTGGTGGTGGACGGCGGCCGAATTGTGCAGTTCGATAATCCCGCCGCCCTGCTGCAGGACAAGCAGGGACTTTTTTACAAAATGGTGCAAGACGCCGGCGGTCTTGACTTTGTATAGACTTTGTTTTTTATAAACTGTTTTTAGTAGCGGGTGGCTTTATTTGGGTGGGGATCGGGGCTGAATGAGGATGGGGCGACATTGATGACAAAAGTTGCAGGAGTTTTCCGAAAACCCCGAGAAACTAACGGTGTTTAATGACTGGTTAAAACATTTGATTGCTTGTGTCCTACTAGAGGTCCTTGCAATTAAGCTTTAAGTAGCTTTGAGCTGATATTGCAGATAATCAGTGAATGAGTTGCTATCTTGCACAAGTGCCGTCTAAGTGTTTTCCAGCTATCCGCGCCCGCTAGTCTTATCAGAGTTTCTGTCCTGATTTGATGGCAGCACCTTGAAAGTCGACATGGACTACACGAACTCGCGCCCAGCCAAAGACCATTACAACCCCAGGGAAACTGCAGGAATATTTTCGATCGTCACGTTCATGTGAGTATTGAAATTCTGGCCTCTCGCTTCTAAAGTGGCTTCTAAGCTGGTGATTCTAGCTACAATTTGCCACTACTGAAGCAGGGCCGGAAAGCGGACATCGAGGAGAAAGACATTTTTGCGGTGATTCCCGAATATGGAGCGGAACGGTTGGGGGACCAGCTGGAAGAGCTGTGGAGGCACGAGAAGAAGCAAAGCAAAAAACCATCAGTCATCAAATGCCTGGTCAGGTGCTTCGGCTGGACGTATTTCTTCCTCTCAGTCGCTCAGCTGCTGCTGACGACTTTCACCATGTAAACCCCCATGACTTTCAGTCGAGGACTTTTTCGCTCATCTGCGTCTTCCAGATTGGCGACTCCAGTAGTATTGTCCAAGTTTGTCGCCTATTTCCAGCCAGGCCAAACGGGCGTCTCCACAAAAGACGCCTATATCTACGCTTCCGCAGTCATCGGCCTGAACATCTTCAACTCCCTGTACACCAACAATCTCGCTCAATTAATCGTGGAATATTCCATTAAAGTCCGGACTGCCGTTTGCTCCTTGATTTATCGGAAGGCTCTCAAAATCAGCCCTCTGGCCTTTTCCGAGTGTTCCATAGGTAAGTGCAAGCGATCGGTCGCATAGGGGGTAAAAGACATCTTTTGCAGGCAAAGTGGTGTCGCTCTTGTCCAAAGACGTCTTCTCCCTGGACAGCGGACTGCCGTTCCTCAAAGACCTGATCATCAGTTTTCTGCAATTGGCTGCAGTCACGTTCATTCTTTACCGAAAGGTTGGCGTTTCGGCCTTCTATGCCATGGGGCTGATTATGATGATTATTCCGCTTCAGAGTGAGTCTTTAGTAACCACTTAGTTTGTGTTAGCAAATTTAATGAAGAACTTCTTTGCAAGTTGGAAGATCCGGCACAAACCGATCATTGCTTGCATTGAGGCGATATTTTACCAATTGAACGGTTTCAGTGTTTCTGGGCAAGTTCGTTGCAACCCAGCGCATCAAATGCTCCAAGAAGACCGACGAACGATTCAAGCTGCTTCAAGAGACCCTGGGAGCCATCAAAATCATCAAAATGTACTCGTGGCAAGGCTTCTTTGAGAAGTTGATTCACAAAGCCAGACTGTAAGTGATTGCTCCCAATAACCGGCTCCATTTTTGTCTTGATCACACATTGGGGTGGATTATCTTTATGCATTTACACTCATTTGCCCTGCTTAAAGCAAACACACCAAAACCTTCACTTGTTCACGCAAGGTTCAAGCAAACCACTTCTGAAGATGCAAGCCACTCGTGCTTGCGAAACGTCAAGAAGAAATTCTACCAAACGACGGCCTAAAAACCCGAAAAACCCATTAGTTTCAAGAATGGCCTTGAAAGTCTCTTTTGATTTTCGAAAAGACGATTCGACGAAAGTCGCTTTTAGGCAAGACAAACTGTAACTCGCCACTTAAACACTGTTGGGGCAGTTTGGCGACGGCCGTCTGAATCGCAAGGCACTCCCCTATAGCTGTCCTTGTCAGTGCACTTGAACAGTGCAACAAACAGAGCGCGGAATGTTTAGCGCTCCCTCTGCGTCTCTTACAGTACAAACTATGCCTGTTCTTGTCTGTCACATTGCAATTACGCGCAACCGTTTGGAAAGGGCAATGCCCAACTGCCCCAGATTATTCCAGTTTTTTTAGTTTTTTGAAACATCGGTGCACATTTTCCTGCTTCATTTTGCATTTGCAGCAAGGAAACTGACAAAATCAAACACGTCTACTACCTAAAAGTAATCGTGGCTGTTCTTGGAGCCTCGACCATCAACTTGGCCTTCTACGCCTTCCTGGTTTCCTACATTGCTCGAGGTTACACTGTGGAAGCGGAAACGGTCTACTTCGTGCAGACTTGCCTGGGGGCCATCAAGCTATCCATCGGCTTGCTGATCCCGTTCGGCATCAGTCAGACTGCCGACATGTCGGCAGCTTTTGAGAGAATCCAGCAGTTTCTCGGTAAGTCTCCATGGCAAGACCGCGCATGGCTTGAAAGTCTCCTGCTTTAGACGCTGAAGAAGTGGAGAAGCGCCAGTACCGCATACTGCCAACGCAAAAGCCCAGCTTGCATCTGAACGAAGTGAAGGTGCTGATTCAGGGCAAGGAGGTGCTGGATTCAGTTTCCCTGGAGTTGAAACATGGGCTGTTGCTGGTCACTGGCAATGTTGGCAGTGGGAAAAGCTCTTTGCTGAAGACAATTCTCGGAGAATATCCGGTTGCTCAAGGCGATTTGATCGTTCGGGGGACGTTATCGTATGCCTCTGCAGAGCCTTGGCTGTTTCCGTCCACCATAAAGCAGAATATACTCTTTGGGCTGCCTTATGAGGAGAAGAGGTATCAGAAAGTGCTGCAGGTTTGCGCCTTAACCTACGACATCAACCAGTTTGAGAAGCTGGACCAAACAATTGTGGGGGACAAGGGCTTCAATCTGAGCAAAGGCCAGCAGGCCAGGATTTCTCTGGCTCGCGCCCTGTACAGAAACAGTGATGTTTATCTTCTAGACGACTGCCTCAATTCCTTGGATAATCACGTAAACAAGCACATATTCAACGAATGCATCACAGGCTTCCTTAAGGACAAGCTGTGCGTTTTCGTCACCAATAACATTAACCACATTAAGACCGTGGATAACAGCCATATTTTGTTCATTGAAAATGGAAGAACTTTGAGCCTCGAACAGCAAACTGAAGCCTTAGACAAGAGGATCACGTATTACATCGATGACGATGTCGATGACAACTGGAAGCGAGTTTCCAGACTTCCAGCTGTTCAGGAGGATGAGGAGGATTTTCGGGAAACTGATGCCTTGCTGCAACTCAATGGGGACCTGCCTGCTCAGGCATCGCCCAACTTGTACCATGAGGAGAAAAAGGAGGGAAAAGTGCTCTGGAATAATTACACGCGCTACTACAGGTTTATTGGGGGGGCTCTGGTTATGACCTGCATGCTTCTGGTGTTCATGGTTGTGCAGTTTTGCCTTTCCTACTCAGAGAAAGTCATCAGCTTATGGTAAGTGAAATGTTTTATCGATAGCAGGGTTCTCGAACATTTTTTCTTTTAAACTAATGGGTTTGTCGGGTTTTTAGGCTTGAACGCTACCGTAGGCGTTCAAGCAAACCACTTCTGAAGATGCAAGCCACTCGTGCTTGCGAAACGTCAGGAAGAAATTCTACCAAACGACGGCCTAAAAACCCGAAAAACCCATTAGTTTCAAGAAATGGCCTTGAAAGTATATTTCTTTTCATTTTCGAAAAGACGATTCGACGAAAGTCGCTTTTGGGCAAGACAAACGTAACTTGCAACTTAAACACTGTTGGGGCAGTTTGGCGACGGCCGTCTGAATCGCAAGGCACTCCCCTATAGCTGTCCTTGTCAGTGCACTTGAACGGTGCAATAAACAGAGCGCGGGATGTTTAGCGCTCCCTCTGCGTTACTTACAGTACAAACTATGCCTGTTCTTGTCTGTCACATTGCATTTACGCGCAACCACTTGGAAAGGGCAATGACAAACTGTCCCAGGTTATTCAAGTTTTTAAATTTTTCAAATATCGGTGTGTATACGTACGGTGGATTTTAATTAAACGCGCTGTGCATTTTTTCCTATGGAACGCTACCGTAAGCGTTCAAGCTAACCACTTCTGAAGCAAAACGTCAAGAAGAAATTCTACCAAACGACGGCCTAAAAACCCGAAAAACCCATTAGTTTCAAGAAATGGCCTTGAAAGTCTATCTTATTTCATTTTCCATTGACTATTTTTACATGATCAAACGAGAGTTTCCATTCCAACCAGTATGACGCAAACTGTGGCTAACAGCTCGAAAGGACTCACACAAATTTGCCAAATTTTCGGGCTAAAATTGTCCCAAATTCCCGAGGTTTGAGTCTTTGAGAAATCAATCTTAATGTTTTAGGCATGTTTTAGTTTTCCAAATTTCGGGCACCAAGTTTTTTGCTCCGATTTACATTGAAAACTCCTAATCCATGGCAAAATTTAAGACACTCAAGGGAGTTTAATGTGGTTGAAATGCTCGGTTGGTAAAATCCAAAATCGAAAAATTTGCACCAATCCAGTTCGGCACAGTCATAAATTCAAAAATTTTCCAGCTACAAGTACAGACACATTTGCTCTACCTTTTCACCAAATTTGTTCGCAATCTTTTCCAGTTCGCAAGTTTAATGTTTTTGCTCTTCCCAAAGCCGCTCTCCACTACGAGAAATCCGGTCCTCCGAATCGAAGGACCAAAAAAACTGTTATCAACAATCCCTGAAATTTTTTAGGGTAAACCTGGAGCCCCAGATAACGCAGCTGACCATCAGCAACCAAACCGAAACCGACGAATTCAGACAAATTATCGCAAAAAGAGAACAGTTTCTGAACCTGTACTCCATTCTGCTGGTGGTCTTGATAGCTGGCATGATAATCCGCACATATTCAAGCTTCTACTTTTGCACAAACGCCGCTAGAAAACTGCACAAAACCATGATCACTTCCATGCTGAATGCCTACATGTACTTTTTCGATAATCACTTCATTGGGAACATCATCAACCGATTGTCCAAGGATTTCAGCGTCACTGATGAGCAAATGCCCTACTTGATCTTCGACTGCTGTCGGGTACGCACTTTGAGTGAGAAACCAGGACCAGTTTGCGCTAATCTTTGGCAATTTTCAGCTGGTTTTTAACATAATTGGGGTGTTCATCCTCGTAGGTTCGGTTAACTGGACGTTTTTCATACCGGCCGCTGTCCTCTTAGTCCAAATGTACTTGATGAGGCGCCAGTACTTGCCAACTGGACGCAGCTTGAAAAGACTGGAGGCTGCAAGTAAGGGGCCACAGCCTGGGAAAATCGATAATATTGGCGTTATTATCGAGATTCTTTCAGGAATTCTCGAGCAAAATTTGATATTCGTGTTTTGTACAGCACGCAGCCCCATCATCGGTTACCTCAATTCCACGTTGGAAGGACTGGCAGTGGTGCGGGCATCTGAGCAACAGCACAAGCTCAGAGAGGAGTTCGACAGCCACCAGGACCTTTTCACCTCCACATACTACATGAGTCAAAGCACCATGCGCCTTTTCACCTTCATGCTGGACATTTTCGGAAGTTTCTTCATCGCGGGAATCGTCATCAAGCTGCTTCTTTTCCCTCAAGGTGAGTCGCCTTGCTACCATTAAACCGTCTGCCTGAGCTTCTCTTAGGAGTTTCCGCTGGGGAAGTAGGGCTGGCCATCTCGCAGTCGATGATGCTTTCCGGACTGGTGCAGTTCACCATCAAACAGCTAACCGAAGTGGAGAACGCGATGACAGCGGTGGAAAGAATTCTGGAGTACGCCGATGTCGAAGTGGAGCCCAAAGAGGGCAAGGTTGTCACTGATTGGCCCTCCAAAGGCTCCATTCGCTACCACCACGTTTCGCTGGTATACAAATCCGATGGGCACACGGTGTTGAAGAACATCAGCTTCCAAATTGCGGGCAGTGAAAAGGTTGGCATCGTTGGACGAACGGGAGCTGGAAAATCCTCGATCATTTCCACGCTGTTTCGGCTCTACAATTTCGAAGGACGGATTTTCATTGACGGTGAAAACATCAACGACCTCGCGCTGGATCGCTTAAGATCCAGCATCGGCATCATTCCACAAGACCCGATCCTTTTCTCCGGATCAATTCGCAGCAACATCGATCCGTTCAACAAGTACTCTGATGCTGATATCTGGCGGGTTCTGGAACAAGTCAATTTAAAGAGTCTAGTGAAGGACCTGAACCAGCAGGTTAACGATTGTGTGGCCTCCTACAGCTCTGGCCAGAAGCAGCTTCTTTGCCTGGCTAGAGCCATGATTCAGAACAACAAGATCATTATTCTAGACGAAGCCACGGCCAATTTGGATCCCGAAACCGATCAGCTGCTCCAGAAAACTGTGAATGAGAGCTTCAAGGATTGCACAGTTTTAACGATAGCGCATCGATTGCACACTGTGATGGGTTGCGACAAGATTCTGGTGTTGGATGCTGGCAGTGTGGTGGAGTTTGATACGCCTGCAGCTCTGCTGGAGAACCCGAACGGGTTCTTGGCTAGAATGGCACAGGATGAAGTTTTCGCCAAGCCAAAGTAAATGTTTGTAGGGAAAACTGTTGTTTTTATTGGTCCTTTTTCTATATGAGGGTACGTACAAACACTTTTAGTGCTCAGCTAAAGCTTGGCTTGGGAAAAAGAGGGGAAAAAGTCCA